AGATCCTTTAAGTGACAGAAGACAAAGCACTTCATGTAATCTACTATGAATCTGGTTAATTTTTCTAATTTTTTTCTTTCAAATAATATAATATGTAATATATATAATAATACAATATAATCAAATAATTAAAAAGGTGGTAAGTCATTTACATTTCTTTTTATTTTGTATTGTACTAATATTAATCGCTGGAAATGCACTTTTAAAAAAAGTGTGAACAAAAAAAAAAACTAAATTTTTTTAGTATGTACACTTTGTGACTACCGTTCATTCAAAAGCTGTTCTTGTGGTTTCAGGTTTCCTTTTACACAACAGTTGTTTAAAAAAAAAAAAAAAACACACTGGATTATTTACAACATGTAATGAGAACATTTGGTTTAATAACTTTAATTTATTTTTATATTTACAACTGTTGTCACTAAACATGTACAGTACTTTGAACCAGTTTTTACACTTCATTTTCCTCTCTGTACCATTTTGTCCTCCATTAATTTTACTGTGGCCTTTAAAACATTTCACAGGCCATTTGAAAAATTTCCCTTATAAATAATATGTTCCATATTTCAAACCTATGTATTTTGTCAGAGAGCTAATCGAGCACTTCAAGGAGTAATTTGAAACTGGAAAAGCAATGACCTTGCTGAGTTGATTATCTTTAGGATTTTGATCGAGAACATATGGTGCTTTTAGCTCAAGCACAAGAGGAATGATGCATGTGTCATACTTCACTAACTCTTGTATTATTCCTTTCTCTGAGGGAATACCATGCTTTGGACCTAAAAGCTGAACTGTAAACTGAGAACACAATAATAGTACTCATTTAAAAGTCATAATTTCAGGTACTGGAAGACCTAAATGAGGTATGTTGGACTATGGGTTCCTTGATATGGATGCTTGCCCAACCAATTTATTTGGATCACTGAGCAGTGAACAAATAGTTGTAGTCTTAACAATTACTCCAAAATAACTAGACAGGCCTGCCAGTAAAAGACAAATATTAAGATTACACCACCACCACCAGAGAAACAAAGAAAGGGGATCTGAGGGTGCCTGAAATAAATAGTGTGACAATAGAAAGCAGGATTGAAGAGCGGAGGGCTTGTCAGGGTTGGAGATACTCTGTGCTGCAGAAGGCTGTGGGCTGATGGAGAAGGAGAGTGATGAAATGGGTGGATGACCTAAGGAGCAGCCATAGCAGGCTAATAGTTTAGCTCTGACAGGTAACATACAGACTATAAAATTCCATCTATTCAATTCAAAAGGAGAATGAAACTCCCAGGAGTGGACGATCAGTGACAGCTTTTGTGAGTCTGAGATGAACACAATGTGTTGTAAAGGAACAAAATCAGTAGTGTCCATAAGAGAGGGCTTTGCACAGTCTTAGTGTTAGTAAACAGTCTTAATGGGCTGTATTTTATATTATTTCATGATTTTTTTTTCTTCTGCAAAACACACACACACACACACACACAAAAACAGATAAAACTGTTTGGTAACCAGACAGCTTTGGTTAGTATTGAGCAGACAAAAAACTTGGAATGTCTCAAAATATTTTATTTTATGTTGCACAGAAGAAAGAAAGTCATAAAAGTTTGGAAACAACATAAGGGTGACGGGCGAGTGTAAGTGATTATGTCATTTTTGGGTGAACTATCCCTTTAATGGTGATGTTCGTAGATTTTCTCTTAACCATTCTTAATATGCAGAGCATTTTTAGATGAACCGTTCACAGGTTGATTTCTCCAGACGCTATAAACATTGTGTCTCTGTGATGCATAACATTACAGCAGTGTTTGAGCATGCCAGCATGGCTACAATGACTCTACGACATGTGGCATGAGTTTAGGGCTGGACCTATTTGTACACCTTTTTGCAGATGTGGATAATATTTGAGGAACCTGTTTGAAAACAGTCATTTTTAAAAAAGAAGATGATAAACAATCTTCATTAACATTGCTGAAATATCCACCAGAGTGTATGTAAATGCCCAAAAGCTTATTTAACCTGTTAACTGTCACTTGCTATTACATGATTTAAATAGTAATATCTTAGTCTGAACCTAAAGTAATCTTGACAAACTATATATTGTTTGAAAGCTTAAAGACTCTAGTTTTGATATTTGGTGACTGGTTTTTGAAATATTTTACAGAGCAACTGTAATTTATTAATATGCAAGAAGACTACCCATCAGAGTCAGATAGTGCGTTCTGACCTTTACTTTGAAATAGTGATGCACATATAAAATCATGAGAAATCTGTAAAAATCTTTATTCATTTTGTTCAGTGTTCAAAAGATAACATCCATTCTATTTTTGAGAAAAAAAATGTCTAAAAGTGTTTCGAATTTATAGAAAAAAAAAAGATTCTCCATTTTTGATGCATTGTGAACTATAACGCAAGTCCAGGGTTCTCGTAGCATGTATTTTATGTTTTTTTGAGGTTGAATTGAAATCAAATACTGCCATACTGCCCTTAATACTTCTGAATGTGATGTCTACTTCATAAATATTGAGAAAAGTATGGAAAAACATGTTTCAGATCACTCAAAACATATATGGAAATGAAGGCGCCCTTAAATGGTTACTAATGGGGTTTGATGGTCATCTAGTGGAAACGTTTGGTACTACGCCCAAACAAAATCTCACTGAAAGCTCATTTTTTGAGATATCAACCTCAAATTTGGAACACAACCTGTTCAGAATTTTGGTTTTGATTTTCTAGCAGTTTTAGAGTAAAACATGTTTTGTAAAATGTATGTTTTATATAAAATATAAATATTTAAATTATTACATTTTATATTTTATATTTTCATAAACTTAAACTTAAATAAATTGTTTGTTATATAATCTTTATAACTTCTTCACTTCACTTTTGAACTTCTACAATAATCTGCCAAGTGTCTTCTTTAAAAAGAGATCAACCTTAAGTCTGTGGTCCAAAGCATTCAAAATTTATAACAGTTTAAGTTGGAAATGTCATTTTCAGGTCTATGCTCAAAAAGTGGAACCGACAGTTAACAGGTTAAAGACAGATCAATGCTTAATACACTGTCTGTCTTCTGTTGTGTTGTCTGACTTGACGACTGACATAATAATTTGTGTCCATTAAGTGAGAACACAGCCACTTAAATCTCCCGGCGCTGACAATCAATAAACCCATTCTGACCTTTACTTTGAAATAGTGATGCACATATAAAATCATGAGAAATCTGTAAAAATCTTTATTCATTTTGTTCAGTGTTCAAAAGATAACATCCATTCTATTTTTGAGAAAAAAAATGTCTAAAAGTGTTTCGAATTTATAGAAAAAAAAAAGATTCTCCATTTTTGATGCATTGTGAACTATAACGCAAGTCCAGGGTTCTCGTAGCATGTATTTTATGTTTTTTTGAGGTTGAATTGAAATCAAATACTGCCATACTGCCCTTAATACTTCTGAATGTGATGTCTACTTCATAAATATTGAGAAAAGTATGGAAAAACATGTTTAGTTTTTGCATTGTGTGAGAGAGGATTTTCTAGCAGTTTTAGAGTAAAACATGTTTTGTAAAATGTATGTTTTATATAAAATATAAATATTTAAATTATTACATTTTATATTTTATATTTTCATAAACTTAAACTTAAATAAATTGTTTGTTATATAATCTTTATAACTTCTTCACTTCACTTTTGAACTTCTACAATAATCTGCCAAGTGTCTTCTTTAAAAAGAGATCAACCTTAAGTCTGTGGTCCAAAGCATTCAAAATTTATATCAGTTTAAGTTGGAAATGTCATTTTCAGGTCTATGCTCAAAAAGTGGAACCGACAGTTAACAGGTTAAAGACAGATCAATGCTTAATACACTGTCTGTCTTCTGTTGTGTTGTCTGACTTGACGACTGACATAATAATTTGTGTCCATTAAGTGAGAACACAGCCACTTAAATCTCCCGGCGCTGACAATCAATAAACCCAACTAATCACATAGAGAGAAAGTGACATCCCTGGCGACACAAGATTTGTTCTTCAATTGGACTATTAAGGATTTGTGTGTCTTAAGACTCCATTATCACTACCGCAGTCTCTGGATCCTATCACTCACAGGAGGATTATTAGTATAGTCACCTTCTATTTGACCAGCTATTATCCTACAATAGCCTATTTCAGCTAGGTAACGTCTATAGATGGATGTCAAGTTTATCAGTAATGATGTGGGGCTGATAAAAAGATTTGTATTTTTTATTTTTATTTATTGTTTAACTAATCCCTAATTATTTATTTCTTATTCTTATCACTGTTCTTTTGTGCTTGAAGTTTATTCTGATATTATTATGGCCAACAGAGAATCTCTTTTATCACTCCCCATTAATGATTTTGAATTGTAGTCATTGATTCATGAAAAATGAAATTATAGCTGAATGAACATTTGTAAAGCAGGACAGAGGGTGGAACTAACGCTTGATTACATTGCCATCTTATTTTTCATTCAGTGCTGTTTTCTTGGAACTGAAAATGAAGGGAATTAAGATAGCAGCAAATTTCTATTAACACTTGTTTAAATTGCTTTATATGTTTTCACCTAAATGTGTTTGTTTAACTCACGATTGTAAACTTGGGTTCTTATTGCACAGAATATTATGTCTTAAAATAATAGATTACATTTTACTGTCACTTTATCACTAGCCAATTGCATGGAGTTTGACACACACTTTGACATCAGGTGCAGACTCACACACACACACACACACACACACACACGCACACACACACACACACACACACAGATACATAATGAAAGAAAGCAGGGCTATTGTGTAACAGCCATAAAGTAATTTGCACTAGTGTTCTGTGAGACGCGGCTGTCCATAGCACAAAGTCGAGGTTGTACAGTGGACTGACACTCTTTGGATTTTGAGGATTTATGTTTTTGGATATTGAGGTGTGAGTGTGTCTGTCACTGTGTTTGTGCTTACATGTAGATCTGAATGAGCTACTGAATTATCTGTCAGAGAGCTCAATGAAGGTGTGCGTGTGGGCCTCATTTCTGCTGTGTTTCCTGGCGAGTGTATCATCTACGCCATGTCTGCCTGAGGAGTTTACTTGTGCAAGAGGCGGCTGTGTATCTGAGGAACATGTGTGTGATTTCAGAGAGAACTGTGAAGATGGCAGTGATGAGACTAACTGTAAGTATTAGTCTGTAAGTTTGTCTTATCTGCTCTTCAGCTCCTTTGTCTGCTCTTTTATTTGTGTATGTTTCCTGTGCTTATGCAGGCAATTCTTTGACAGTAATGGCCCTTTTTTCCCTCTCTGTTGGCAACATGATTTTAAATGCTCCTAAAGGCCCTCATGTGTAAATAGTGAGATTTATGGCACACGCATAAATGAGCGCACTGGGAGGTCTTACAACAGTGCTTTTATAATATTGATTGAATCCTTCTGGGGCTTTTAAAAGGCAGAACATTACAGAATTGAGGTTGATGTATTAGGGTTGACCACTATTGCTTTTGTTTTGCACCTTCATCCTTTTAATGATGCTAAGAAAAGATTTTCCATTAGCATTTTCATTTTCGTCTTACGTTGTCCATGTAAACACAGAACATTATATTATATAATTAGATTTTTTTCATTTTGCATCTCCTGAATCTATTTTGTGACAACAGATTTTAAGTCAAGCGCATATTAAATGTGTTATATGATGGATGCCGTACAGAGTTGCATGTTTTTAATGGTGTCTCTGTAAAAGATTTTAAAGGATTAGCAGACACCAGTGTTTATTTTACTGTAATGGCCTGATATAGCTTTGACTTTCCTCTCATATAGGCTCTGAGTTTGTGAGATGTGACTTTGATGAAGGCTTTTGTGGTTTTCAACTTCAAAATGAACATCATATTTGGATAAGAGGATCAGGTTTGAGCCATCCCAGTACTGAGACCGACCACAGAGAAAATGTTAATGGTAAGTAAAACAGTTCGTCTTATATCTGTATGGATACCACTTAACTCTATAAAACCCGACTGTTACGGAGCGACTGAGAGAGGCGTGCAGATCCATATGCAAAGCTTTTATTAAAAGACGTGGTCAAAAACAGGCATGAGTCAGACAATGACAAACAGGTATATTGAAGACAAGACAAAAGAGTAGTCCGGTAAACAGGCGTGGGTCAATCGATGGCGAACGTAATCCAAAAGGCGAGGCAAATGGGTAATCCAACAAACAGACTATAATCCAGACAAGGGGCAAACAAATTCCGAAATGGCAAGACAAAAGGATATCCAAGACAGGCAGGTGATCAGGAAACAGGCTACCAGACAAAACCAAGACGCGAATAGACTAGGACTAGGAACTAGAAACTAAGGGTGCTTTCACACCTGGCCTGTTGTTTCGGAACCTGGCGCGTTTCCCCCCTTAGCTCGGTTTGTTTGGGAATATGTGAAAATGGCAATCGCGCCCGGATCCGCACCAAAACAATCGGTTCGAGATCGCCTGAACGAGGTGGTCTCAGCTCGATTAAAATCGAACTCTGGAGCTGTTCGGTTGTAGTGAGAAAGCAATCCGATCTAACGGACCAACGAACCAGGCTATATCACAATTTATGATGGGTAATTCCCGATGAATCCTGGACTCCTGCTCAAAATGATAAATTAATATTAAAAAAATAATTAAAAAAACCCAACAATAAGCCCACGAAGCTATTATTGTTCCATCCTGACGGATGACAGCCGTGACAGCTAAATGGAATCCCGGAAAATAAACCATGGAACTTTGACCAATGAGACAACAGTGGAATTGGCTCCGTAAAGTAGCTATCATTAGGAGAGCGATAATCGCTAAACAATACTCAGCTCGAGTGGTGGTTAGGACCTCGTATTTATAGTGTGTGTGATTAGTGAAATGGAACATGGGAAATGTAGTCCAGGGCGACGTGTAACAGTCTGTGTAGTGTGAGAGTCAATATAATCAGAAGACGACCTCTGGTGGCGAGCGGACAGAAGACCACGGACAGGATTCGTGACACTGATACATGATACATGAATTTGTAAGGCCTCTAATTATTAACATGATCAGCGTTTCTGAAAAACCTGTTGTACAAAATCTTCTACATGACTTCCACCCTATAACTGATAGTACATACTAAATTCCATAATTGCATTTTTTTTTACTTTTACATATGAGTTTTTTCTCCCTCAGTGTAAACACCATATTCTCTAGATGTTAATAAGGTTTGGTTTTATATTGTATTTCCTGACTTCTCAGGACACTCTTTATTCTCTTTTGTCAGGTCACTGTCTCTATATACAATCAAAAACTGGAGGAGGAGTCACTGCTGAAATATACAGTCCTCTCTTCCAGCCTTCACAGACATGCTGGGTACAGAAAAAACATGACTAAACATCTTTTGGTGTTGTATTTAATTTTCTGTTCTTTGAATTAATTATTAAATTCGGATACCACATGAATCAGTAGCCTATTTGCCAAACCGCCATCTGCTTTTTAGAGCAAGCTATCAAAACACTATTTTCCATAATATATACACAACTGTGTGATATTGCTTTTATACAGCTGTTAAAAATTAATATTGACTTACATTTTAGACACAGTATTGCCAGTTAATTTGTCTATTTTTGCTCTGCCAACAAAATTGTTCAGAACAAAGTCACTGCAGGTCTTTGCACACTGAGTCCGAAATTCTCGTCCAAAATTTTCGTACGTTAAAAAATAGATACAACCTCACATTATGTCAATCACGTTTACACACTGCCTCTGAAACTTTAGTCTGTCATAAAAAAATGTTTGGACCAGGTTCGATTTTCTGCGTTTTCGTATCCATAGCAAGCATTTTGATAGGAAAGGATGACGAATAAAAAAAAAAACGCATACGAAAATTTCGGACTCGTTGTGCAAGGACCTTTACTCTGGTTTAGTTCCTGAATGAATAGGCTGACGGAATGGTTCACTTATAGGCACTTGTCACCACTGACTGATGTGAAACCTGCAAAAAGATTGGCTGACAAATCATCACCACTAATGCGCATACTGACAGTCTGTCTCAAATTAACACAGACAAGCGGGTTGATTAAAAACAATGAAAAGTCCCAGTGTCTAATTAAATAGCCTATTAAAAAAATTATATGAACGATTTTAGTAGTTCAATAAATGGACCAATGCAATGTGTTTGTTTTTTGTCAAGAGAGACATACTGAAGAGTTTACCACAAACCATAAGCAGCATCATGTTAAGTGCTTGGCTCAAGCCCTCCATTATGTGTGTAGAGCACTTATCCACTGCCCCGGCTACACACTCTTATTGACAGCAGAGAGTTATGCATAGGCTGTCAGAGCCCTGACACAGTGGGTAGTGCATGCACTCATTGTGATGTATGGTTTTAGATTCTCCGTTATCGAATATGGAGTAATTCACTTTGAGTGCTTCTCTGCTTAAACGAAAATAAGATGACATTGAACTTGGCAGTAAGATGCAATAACATAACCTCACTTTACAACAAAACTGCTTTGAATATTAGATGCTTTCAGCATTCATTTGGTCTCATTTGGCCAAATGCTGAATATCTTTAATGTTTCATCTTTAAAGCTCAAAATGTGTAATGAAGTGATCAATGCACCTCTTGAATCCTTTGTTCACGTAGCATGTTCTTTTGAGGGATTTATATTTTCTCTCCCTTTGTTGTCCTTTCCTTTGAACAGTTAACTTTCTATCGTCATATTGGGATGCTGGCTGGGGCTTTGCAGGTTCTGATCCAGTTCAAATCTTCGGGAGAGATGCAGGCTTGGTTTCAGTCCACCTCCAATCCTGATCCACACACTCTTCCCTGGATGCGAACAGTGGTGGTGTTAAACAGCGGAGAGGAGTTTAAGGTTGGTGTGCATGTACTGTATGAGAGTTTATGTGTGTTTGAGGGAAGGGGTATTATTGTTTGGTATGTATGGTGCATAGTTCAATCAGTAACACAAAATCACTGTGAATCTACAGGTTGTGATTAGAGGATTGATATTCAACAGCAGTGACCCATATGAAGTTGTAGCGATTGATGACGTGTCCTTCAGCAGAGGATGTGTGGTAGCAGTAGGTGGGTGAACACTAATATGTCTTCTCAAGAGTGCTTTTTTCGGCGAATCAGTCTGCACAGTCTGGACTGTTTCAGGGTACCATGTATATCCAATAAGGCTGCCTAAATACACCTAATTCAATTGTTCCCCTAAAAATTACATTTGTCGTTACAAATCTGTATGACTGACTTTATTCTGTGGCGCATCAGTATCATTCTGCGGTGTCGCTAGACCATTTTTACTGGGGCAAGAGCCCCAGTGAAATACTGTGCCCCAGTAAAAAAGTTACTGATAAATCCTTATGTGTCAGTGGGATTGATGTATACTGGCATGAGAATCATTTTGATTGATAATACTTAAGCGATCAAGTCACGTGTGTTTTCTGTTAGCTGTTGTAAGAATCTATAGTCTGCCCCGACCCAGATTCCACTCCACAATATATGTTTGATCATGCTCATTTCCCAAAATGGCTTAATTATTGTAGAGAAGAAGAAAGTCAACCGTTATGTTGTTTCTAGACTATTTGGGATAATCACATCCTGAGCAAATGGTGACCAATTGTAAAATGGGAACGGATGTGGGACACACGTCCTCATCACTTTTTCTTACTCTGTCTAGAATCAGAACTAGCAATGCCAGATTCACAAATGAATCACTCTTTTGATCTAATCGGTCAAACTGGTTTGCAAAAAGCGCTGCGTTCCAAAAAGGATAATTCGGCTTCTGAAGGGCACTTCAGGGCACAATGCCATATTCAAGGATCAGTCCAAACAGAACTGGTTACTTCAAAGGGCCCATCAGAATGAGGGATTTTGAAGGGTACAAATTATGGACACTTTGCCTCCATGATTGTTTCCGTGGGTTTAATTGCATGACGACAGTCCCTCCTTTATTGGCTTTGGGAATATAGAAGTGAGTTTGAAGAGAAAGTTTTTTGTTCATCCCTTCGAGGCTCTCAGTCTGGAGGGTAAAACCTTCAAAGGGACTAAGGAATAGGGATGAGTTCTTCAGAATGAAACGCAGTGTTGGTCTGAAATTGTTTGTGATTCAGTTTGATTCATTCGGATGCACTCAAGCACTGAAATGGATAGTTCACCCAAAAATGTAAATTCTGTCATTAATTACTCCCCCGTCATGTCGTTCTAAACCCGTAAGACCATCGTTCATCTTCGGAACACAAAGTAAGATATTTTTGATGAAATCCGAGAGCCATCTGACCCTCCGTAGACAGCAATGCAACTGAAACGTTCCCAGACTCAACTATGTTAACTATTTTAATATAGTTAAAATAGTCCATGTGACATCAGTTTCAAGCGTAATATTACAAAGCTACAAGAATACTTTTTGTGCACAAAGAAAACAAAACTAATAACTTTATTCAACAATTCTTCGCAACTCAACACGTCACCGTCCTCCTCCATTATTGAGATTACCACGATGTATGCACGTGCTGCTGCTGACGTAAAACATGCATGCGCTGCGCCTGGTTTACGAATTGCGTGTTTTACGCAAAAAAGTATTCTCGTAGCTTCGTAAAATTCTGGTTGAACCACTGGTTTCACATGTACTATTTTAACGATGTCCTCACTACGTTTCTGGACCTGGGAACATTTCAGTTGCATTGCTTTCTATGGAGGCTCAGAAAGCTCTTGGATTTCATCAAACATATCCCAATTTGTGTTCCAAAGATGAACGAAGGTCTTAAGATTTTGGAAGAGTTAGGGTGATTAATTAATGACAGAATTTTCCTTTTGGGTGAATTATTTCTTGAATTGTTTGCAGCGGATTCTCACACTGCAATAATAACAGGAATACAGGATGTTTTATAAAAGAGCAGTGGATTAGGTGGATATTTTCCTACAGTTTATTGTAGGAAATGCAAATGTCTTCTATCTTTTGTCAATGATCAAACAGCTCTTTATTGCACATGCAGCTTGTGAACGAAACTGTGCTGCAGGTAAAGCCAATTTATTTAGGTACAAATCAGTATTAAAAAGGGTCTCAAAATATGGACACACTTTTTTTGATGGAGGGCCTCATGTGCCCTTTTACTGATGAAAGTCTGGAAATTCCCCTGATATCATCAGTATGTGTGCTTCATTGAAGTTATCCATGTCTGAATATGTTCCTCCTTCAGACATCCATGTTTGGATTATAATGTAGCTGTTTGTAAAGATGCAAAGATGAAGTTATGTGATGGATTTGCTTTAGAAATTTCTGAAGGGTGTGAGGTGCAGAGAGCTCAAGAGATGCAGGAATATAAAGCTGTAAATAAGGCCTAATACATTTACCGCCTGTGCTGGATGGACTACGACACCAGAGGGACAATAGTGATGGGCAGAAGGGAACCTCAGCAACTTTCTAATTTACAGCTCAGCCCATTATAGAAAGAAGAAGAGACATCAGTTACATTTTTAATTTCGAGTATATATAAATGCCATGACAACATCATGGTGGGTTTTATTATCTTCTGAAGATTTTATAGGTCTACATTTTAAGGTGTAATTGCTGACACAGCTTTGCAGTAAGTCAATAACTTTTATTTTACACATCGGTCACAAAAATGCTTAACTATTTATGAGAGAAGATAATCTTGCTTTATTTTCCACCATAAATACAGATCTGCACAGAACAGAACAGAACAAGGTTGATTTTCTATGGCCAAGTGTTTCGAAGGGAGGTTTATGTGTTTAGTTGTAAATGTGTGTGTGTGTTACGATACCGCATTATTGTGATTTATTTCAGCAGTACTCTGGACAGTCAGATTAATCATAATAATGTGCCCATGTCCAGATCTACATCACATGACCCCGTAAACAGAGGTGATAATGCAGGAAGGAGCTCTAAGCCACTCTTCACTTTATGAGTCCCTTCTTGACCTTTTGCTTACCTTTTCTATGAAATATGTATTTTGGCTTTATTGTTTTCTCCAGAGACTGACATCAAGGCACCTCTTCCAACTCAGTGCCCCTCGTCTCAGTTTCACTGTGGGGCAAATGAATGTGTAGAAGGGGTGAAAGTGTGCGATTTTTTATTAGACTGCCCCAATGGAGAGGACGAGGCCAAATGTTGTGAGTATCCATCTTATTTTTAATGTAACTGTGTGTACAGCCATTTGTAAACTGAATGTCTTGCAGGTGTCATTCGCTTACAGTTATTTTTATTGCAGAAATAGCTTACTTAAGAGACTGTAGTAAGCTAGACTGAGAGACTGGAGACTTGAAAATTTAAAACAGCTTGCATAATTTCACTGGAACATGAGCCATGTCACTGTTTAAGAAACATTTACCTTGACTGATACCAAATACTTTTTTTTTGTTGTACAATGAATGAAAAAAGTTCACCCATAAACGAAAATTCTGTCATCATTTACTCACCCTCATGTAGTTACAAACCTACTGTATATGGCTTTCTTTCTTCCTTGGAATATAAATAAGATATTCTGAAAGTTTGAACTAATTTGTCTATATTTTCAATGATGGTTTTATGTTTCATTTACTGTTTCATTATTATTTCATGATGTTAATTTGACTTTCAGCGGCACAGTGTGATTTTGAGTCCGACTCGTGTGGCTGGTATGAGCTTGTCCAGGGTGATGGGTTTGAATGGGTGAGAGGCTCAGCTAATGGAGTCGCCATAGATTATCCGGACCAAACACCACCCCAGGACCACTCTACTAATACAAGTGCAGGTGAGGGCACTGACATAAATACACAGACTAAATAAATCATGAAATTATTTTGTCTCACATTTAATTTACTCTCACTCCCAAAAGATGCTAAAACTGTAGTTCTGACCTATAAACCACATCCACTTATTCCATGTGCACATTTCCTAACATTTCTGTTTCTCCATGAAGAACCTCTACTTAGTTTTAACTAGCACTGGAACATTTTTAAAAATCCCATTTAACTTATAATGTTTATCTACAAATCACCTGGGAGCGTAAATTGTGTGAGAATTAGGCTAGTTCATTTCAATTTTAGTGCTTTGCGAAAGAAAAATAGTGCTGCTTTTCATATTGTGCTCCCATAGATAATTAATTAGGTTTGGCCTCTGGGAGATTTGTAAATTAAATGCGAATTACTGGAATGGTGGCAATGGCATTTCCAATTTCAGGTTTTGTTAATACTTTTTAAATATTTTACTATCTCTTTTTCTCCCCCTTTAAGGCCACTTCATGTTTATTTTCAAGAGGAGCAGCAGGTTGTCCCAGCAGGCTTTGCTGCGCAGTCCTACATTCCAGCAAACAAGTTCAGTCTGTGTCATGACCTTCTGGTAAGGCTCTGGCCTTATCTCTTTCTAAGCTAGTAAAATGCATTAATTAAAATATATTATATCTAAACATATATGTTAATATTTGCAAAAACACAAATAAAATAATATTCTTCACTGCAGTATATTTTTTAACATTCATTGTTTAGATTCAATATTTGCATTGATTGTTTTGCTTACAGGCACTATAATTCTGGCCATTCTGTTGGTGCTGCTGAAATGCACTTGGTGATAGAGGGCTCAGACAGCAGCACTATACTTTGGCAAACACTTTACAACCAAGGTAGCCAGTGGCACCCTGTAATTGTCCAGATTGGCAGACAGACCAGGCCTTTCCACATCTCAGTTGCAAAACGGAGCTTGGCTGTGTATGAAGGAGTCTCCGCTCTAGATGATATTATGTTCCATAACTGCTCATTGCCCAAAGCTGTGGAGATGTGCCCAACTCCTAATCACCTTCACTGTAGCCGGAGCAAAGCATGTGTGGACTATTACCAGATCTGTGACCTGATCGATGACTGTGGAGATGGAACAGATGAGGAAAACTGCTGTCAGTATTGGTGGAGTTTTAAATGGTCATTGAAGCAGTTCATATTGTTTGACGTTAGCAGTCACATTTACAGTGATCTTTTCTTCTCCAATCAGCGCCGGAGCTAATGTGTGACTTTGAGGAAGGCCTGTGTAGCTGGACTCAGGAACACGAGGAAGACATGTTTGATTGGACCCGTATCCAAGGACCCACTCCCACTTTCAACACAGGCCCATGGAAGGACCACACACGAGCCAATGTGGATGGCCACTTCCTCTATATCGAATCTTCAGACCCACAGAAGTTCAAAGACACGGCCGTTCTTATCAGTCGGCCTTTTCTCCAAACTCCTCGCCGAGGTCCTGAATCCGAACCACCCTGTGTTTTTAGGTTCCACTATCACATGTTTGGCCAGCATGTGTTTAATTTGGCTTTGTACATGCGCACCCGTAACAGTGGCCGGGGCAACTTGTTGTGGGTTCGCTATGGTGACCAAGGCAACTTCTGGCACAGGAAGACACTGCTGATCAACAGCGCATACCACTTTCAGGTGAGTTATTGATCAGAATTATGAGGACTGGAGTGTATGGGTGTAATGGTGTCCTTGTGTGCTGAATCATTTGATTAACTGGCTGCTCCAGCTTTAAATGTTATGCTCATACATGCACTCTGTTGATAATGCATGCACTAAAGTCTGAGCAATCATAGTAACCACAAAGCATGCTGAAGTGTAGGCTAGTATTAGCAATATTAAAAATTATTTTCCAAACTTATTAAAATATAAATTATAATCCATATCATCATGTAATTCCAGTCATTCCAGATATGTAGTACAAATGTTTGCTTATCTGCATTTCCAGACAAAAAAAAATGTAGACAAGAGGAAAAAAAAATATTTCAATGCTTTTGCATTCTTTTGTGAAAGAAATGATATGTGATGAGGAACATTTATATTTAAGTGCTTTTGCGAGTTAATGCAACGTTACAATCCACTTGTTAAGTTGTGACAAGTAATACTGTTTCCAGGTCCAAGCCTCTCTCTACTCGTTTCAATTGAGAATACTATCTAATACGTAAGGAATAATTGACGACGGGCCGTTGAATGATTAGAAAAATAATGCACACCCTTCGCGTCGTGGCCGTTACACCTCGGGTGTGCATTATTTTTCTAATAATTCAACGTACCGTCGTCAATTATTCCGCTTATACTACGGTTACCACACCTCATGACATCGATCAGATGATATATTTAAAGGGATTCGTCCGGTTTTTGTACTTAAATCGCTATTGTGAGTAGATTATTTCTTCCGCATCTCATCCAACGCCTCTTTTGCTAGTTCCAAAACGTCATTTTAAAGCTGGTAATGGAGGCTTGGGCCGTTGATAGCATTCTAATGCAGTTATTAATGAAGTTATTAGAAAGAGAGCGAGAGAGACAGAGACACACAGAGAAAGAGAGAGAGAGAGAGAGAGAGAGAGAGAGAGAGAGAGAGAGTTAAGCGTCCACTAAACGATTAATGTTAATACATGTCAGAAAAAAAGTCTCAAGAACTAAGTACAAATAACATTGTGTGTGTGTGTGTGTGTGTGTGTGTGTCTTCAGAACGTTAGGCCTATTAAAACCAGATAACTTTGAGCCAACATTCTACTGACGTTTCTGGAAGAATGTTTGTTTAGAACTTTCAGAGAATCTTGCCAGACTATTAGCTAAAGTTCTGAGGACGTTCCCCGTTAGTTGGGTATCCACCTTTTTCTTCAACGCAGAAGTAAGCCTATGGGTGAGACTTCCGGTTCATTACCCGCTATAGGTAAATAACGAGGAAAATAACAACGTGCAGTAAACGGTAAAACTACAAACCAGTGTGTTCATAATTAAGAGAATACATTAAAATAATATGATAAGACACACCAACTTTCAATATCAAGCAGCAAAACGAACTGTTTTGTTCAGCTAAAAATAGCTGGACGGAGTGGACTCAGATGAGACCGGAAGCCAGACCCATAGAATTTACAAATGGCCGTGCCCATTTTTACGACAAGAAAAAGGTGTAAAGCACTTTATGAGAGCTATTCATTTACAGCACACATTTAACAAGCAGATAGTTGACAGGTTATTTTTTAGCATCTCTTTCTGCTGGTTACATCGGTACACCAGTAGGTGGCAGCAGTTGAGTCTTTATGTGGACGTTTGACTCATTCACTCAACCGATTCCTTCAAAAACACATTTAGGAATGGCAGAATTTGTTTGTGGTTTGTTTGGAGTAAGTTACTTAATATTAACTTTATTGAACTGCCCTTACGACAATTAACCATGGTTTTACTACAAATGAAACCAAAAAACCACGGTTACTTTAGTTTAACCATGGTATTTGTAGTAAAACTGTGGTTATACAAATGGTAATCAGTACTCCAAAACAGCATGGTTACTACACTTTTACTACAATAAAACCATGGTTAATTTTCGTAAGGGTGTTGAGTAAGGCGCACAGAGCATATTTACATATTCATAATTCATCTAAACACCGCTCTCATCAGTGTGGACGGTGTCTAGATGTTCATTAACAGTATATTGCTTCAAAGGTATTTCCAACTTTTTTTCTTCAAAGTGAAGAACACTGAAAGACACTGAATCACATTCGATCTCTTGTACGTTACGTGTACACGAGTGCGAGCACGAGCAAGTTGCTGGCTGCAGTTCACTTAACGGCCACCGGGGTCGCTAATAACAAGGGTTTATGAAATCTACATATAGCCCGATATTAACAATTATAAATCCAGTGTCTCTTATTATTAAGTGATTCGCTTGTTCTTAATGTGTCCATTTTAAAGACTTCAATTGAAAGTAGCTAAAACTGGTAGCTAAATGTCACTAGATGACATCACAATGGCAAATTCACTGATCTATATAAAGATGAATGTAGATCAGTGGGCAAGATGAGAACTTAGATAAGGTTTGTCCAAGAAGTTGCTATATTTGTCCCTAAACTTTTGAAAAAAAGTCTCAAAAGGGGCAGGGAAGTCGCTAAATCTAGCTACAAAGTAGCTAAACTGGCAACACTGATTGTAGTCCACTTATGTTTTAGATCGTTGTTAGTAAATTGTTTCCCATCCGATAACCGAGCACACTGTTTATAATATAGATAGGCCTTCTTTCTTTCTTTCTTTCTTGCTGCTACAGATTTTAGTGGAGGGGACTGTTGGTGATGACTTCAGAGGAGATATTGCCATAGACGATCTGTCTTTCATTGGCTGTCAGCCATATGATGGTGAAGTAAAAATGATATGGAATTAGCTTCATATGAAAGAAAATCCTTAAAGGGGTCATATGATGCTTTTTTAAAGATCATTATTTTGTGTATTTGGTGTAACAGAATATGTTGACATGCTTTAATGTTCAAAAAACATTATTTTTCAAATACTGTACATTATTGTAAGTCCTATATGACCTGCCTCTCTCAAACGCTTAGTTTTCTACAAAGTCCCTCCTTCCGACAAGCGCAGTCTGCTCTGATTGGCCAGCTGACCCAGTGCATTGTGATTGGCCGAACACCGCAAGCACTCGTCGGAAATGTAACGCCCCTTACCATAATCGCGAGCTTCATCTTTCAAAATAAATGTAAAGACAGTCTCTCTCTCTCTCACACACACACGCGAGCGCACACACACATACACACACACACACACAATGCGGAAAACTCCGCATTTGAACAGTCAATAGCAAATACTTAAACTAATAACAAAACAGTAGCTGATTCAGAAGCGCCAGATTGTCATAGCAAAGTCAGAATTACCTCCTCTCCTAGGTTCACGAAACGGTCGTCCATAAAATGCATTGCTGTTCTGTTGTAAGCAATCTTAAAGATTCCTAAATGCATCTACTTTCGGAAGGCCAAATAAAGTGCTTTTGCTTTCGCCTAGAAACACACAGCGTCTCCCTGACATGGCTGCATCAACACTAACTGCGGTTACTGAAACCACGCCTTCTTTCTTTGCGTGCACATTTGGGCTGCATTATGCAAATATTTCCACATAGTGAGGTAGATATGTGGGGGCGTGTTAGAACGAGCCGTTTTAGGGGGGCGTGGCAGAGTCTTAACTTTGATAAAGAATATCTCTTTGGTTTTGAGACTTTAGTCTTTGCAACTTCAGGGATCTTATCTATGCACAATCAGCTTGTAACACTCCAAAGAGAAAGGGAAACTTGATATCGCATCATATGACCCCTTTAAAATTACATTCTTATTAGGACTGGTATCAATATGGATCCAGTTGCCCATTTCAGGACGTTAAAATTCTGGGTTTTAATGTATTTATGTGTGTATATCATTGTATATGTAGGTGAATTGCCCTCAAAGGAGCCTAGCACCTTTGCCCCCATCCCCTCCTTGTCAGCTACACCCCCTCATAGCTGCCCTCCTGACCAGTTTGTGTGCTCAACTACAAGAGAGTGTGTGAGCCTCAGTCAAGTGTGTAACTTCAAACCAGACTGCTCTGATAGCTCTGATGAAGAGCACTGTGGTATGCATCCATCTGTTTATCTGTCTGTCTGTCTGTCTACCAACTGTTCAAAAGGTTTTTTTTGTTTAGTTTTTTTTTTTTTGGAAAGAAATTATTACTTTGAGCAAGAATGGATTGAACTGATTAAAGGTGACTGTAAAGACATTTATAATTTTACAAAATGTTTTTATTTCAAATAATTGCTTTCTATTCATCAAAGAATCCTGACTTATAGTAATAAAAATGTGTGTTTTAAGCAACAAATCAGCATATTACAATGATTTCTGAATGATTAAGTGGAGTAATGATGCTTAGAATTCAGATTTGCCATCACAGGATAAAATAATATTTTAAACATATTCAAATGGTAAACAGTTATTTTAAAATGTAATATTATTCAATAATACTACTGTATGGTTTTTCCTTTTTTTATCAAACAAATGCAGCATTGGTGATCATAAGAGGCTTCTTTTTTTATAAAAATATGAATAAGATCTTACCGATACCTTCCATCATCCATCCTTCTGATATTACTGTTTTGTCTGTTCTCAGTGAAGGAGTATTGTGATTTTGAAAATGATGCTCTGTGTGGATGGTATTTAAGTGTCCCGGCCACTCCTGTTCCTCCTCATTCCTTTTGCTGGCAGACAGGACAAGGGGAGAGTATTCATCATGGAGAACAGAACCACAGACCTGCTAACGACCACACACTGTGAGCAATAAACAGCATTATTTGCTGGAATGTGTTTGTGCTTCAGTTTATAAATGCATGGTCAGGTTTGCTTATGCAGGTGTGCGTTTTCTGCTTTATTGTATGTACTCATCTGTATATGTGTACATTTTGCAGTGGTTCTTCAGAGGGTTGGTATATATTTGCGGACAGCTCCAATGGAGGATATGGTCATACCACTGATCTCTTGACTGCTCCCATTAAAATAACAGGACCCCAGTGCACACTTGTGTTCTGGTATCACATGAGTGGCTTTACTGTTGGAACGCTGCAGGTGCAGTTATCTAGAAATTATGAATATAATTGTTACTCATTTGCTGCACTGGTAACCCATGCCTAGAAAACATCAAAACATATTATTAATGTGACAGAATACATTTCGTGCTTCATTTTCTCTTTCATTGTGTTCAAATTCTAAAATGTTTGTTATGAAGGATTTTCCAGAGACCAATTTGCAGTTTGTCAAAACAATCTCAAAATTGTATGTGCAGGTCTTTATCAAATCAGTCTCTGTCACACATGAAGTTTGGTCCCAAAGTGGTAACCAAGGCAACAGCTGGAGGCGGGGTGAGGTCTTCATAGGAATCCGTCATAACATTCAGGTCAGTGTTTCTGTTACATGAGTGAGGACTAATAAATAAATGAAAAAAGACGTTTTTGAATGTCCAGCTTTTTTCCCTTTCTGGTTCTCCAGCTGTGCCTAAACAACTGCAAAAAATACACCAACATGTAATAAAACGTTCAAACATTTGAGGTCAGAAAGATTCATTTTAAAGAAAAAAACTTTATCAAGGATGCATTAAACTGAATAAACTGACAAAGGCATTTATAATGTTACCAAAATAGTCTATTTTAAATAAATGCTGTTCTTTCTATAGAGTAGAAAAATTTCTACTCTTGGAAAAAAGCTGAAAAGGTATCACAGCTTATGCAATATTGCTATTTTATTTTTACTGTATTTTTGTATATGATCAAATAAATGCAGCCTTGGTAAGCATAAGAGACATCCTTCAAATTAAAAAAAAAAATCTTACTGACCCCAAACCTTTGAACCATAGTTTATGTGTCAACCAGGTAAACAACTTTTATGAAATTTATGGTACTTGTTTACATTTTAATCAAGGTGATTGGAGAACTGTGTGTTTAGTATTCCTGAAGTATGTGGTAAAATGTTAAGTGTCAAGCTGATGTTTGGACTGTTGATGCTTGATCAGAAATATCATGACCTTTTCTCCATCTGGCCCTTGGATCATTAATATTTATCAACACTTCTTATATATAAACACTCTTACCAATGTAGTTCTTCATTGTGCTGGATACTTCATGACACACTCACTCATTAGTACTGACTGCCCTTTTGCTGTATACTATCAGGGGACTTGGTGCTCTTTAACTTATGCAGCAGCTCTCAAACACTTCCAATTCACAATCAATCTCTATGTATAGTTTTTTCCTTTAGCTTTTCACACATACATTTTTTGTTTTCTTTTAAGAGAATCAATTGATTTTGAGTGACATCTTTTCACATTAGTCTGTTTACCTGACATGTCTCATAGAGTAAATGTGTGCTTATAGATTTGTGCATTTGACTACACCGGAGTATGGAAAGTATTGTGGAGCAGATGATGTAGATACCGCAGATTAAAAGCATGCATATTTTGGTTTATGAATGTATTAATAGGTGGGTCTTCGAGCCAAGCGAGGCATCAGCTACATGGGTGATGTTGTTGTTGATGACGTGGCATTTGTGGATTGTGCCCCTCCAATAACGTCTGATCTTCCTTGTCGTAACAACGAGTTCATCTGTGCCAACGGTCACTGTATCTCTGAGGACAACTTGTGTGACTTTATTGATCACTGTGGAGATGGCTCGGATGAGAATCATTACATATGCAGTGAGAAACAAATCCATCATCCTCTTCCCTGTCCCTGTCCCTTTTTTTCAACTGTATTGAAAATTCTTCAGTGGTCAGAATTTGTGTATGGAATAACTTTACACCTCATATACTGTATTGAATGTATGCAACCATATTAAATGTAATTTCCATGTGCATTTGTGTTTGTTTTAAAGGAATAGTTCACCCAAAAATTTAAATACTGTCATGATTTGCTACCCTCATGTCTTTTTAAACCGGTATGGTGTTTATTAATTCTGTGAAGCAACATTGGAGCCCACTGACTTCTTCAGTGGGCTCCAATGTTGTTCAAACTGCAAAGTTCTTTGAAATATCTTTCTTTCTTTCTTTTTTTCTACAGAAGAAAGAAAGTCATACAGGTTTGAAACTGCATGAGGGTGAGTGAGTGATGTTCATATTTCACTATCCCTTTAACAATATTCATGTTTTTTCCCCCAGAGGGATTCAGTGGTCGCTGCAATTTCGAATTTGACCTTTGCTCCTGGAGACAGAGTCAAGATGATGATTTTGATTGGTTGATCAAACCAGGAAATATGCACACACATGGGACTGGACCATCCACTGATCACACCCTCCGCAACCCATTAGGCCACTACCTATATCTAGATGGGTCCTTCCCACAGACAACTGGACACACTGCCCGAATTGTAGGACCTCTTTTCCGCCACTGCAGCAGCGATTGCAAAGTAAGTGCTCACTGGCATTTTATGTGTTTAATTCACTGAAGTCCAGGATGAGTTTGTACTTGCATTATATTCAGTACAATACAATAGAAACAATGAACAAAAAGTAAAAAAATGAGACAAAACAAAAACAAATCAACATACAGGAATGATAATTGTGACATTTTCATGGACTTGACCAGTGGTAGATGCCTTTTGTTTTTTCTTGTCTTGTTCATATCAGTGGCATAGCCAGAATTGTAATTTTGGGGGGGGCTATCATAAAATGAGGGGGCCGCTCTATATTACATGTAGGCTATAATGTCTATATTAAATGTGCGCATTTCCAAGTGTTTGTGCGGCGTGTGGAAGCTGAATAGCAGTGCACTTATACTGCGTGACAGTTAACATGGAGGCGCCGCTGCGATCACTTGCACTTACACTCCGTCATTTTTGGTCATACAGACAAGAATAATTACATCGTATGAATCTGGTAAGGGTCTACATTTGTTTGTGTACACTCACAATAACAACAAAACGTTGTGCGCTGTAAAATAATGAAACCAAACTTGAGCGCGTCAAAAATGAACCGAACTCGTGCCTCACAGACATGAGAAATATATCTATAGAACGCGAAATGTTTTAATAATGAACCAATTCAAATAGAAAACAAATATTCTCAGATTAAGAACTGAGATGGAAGTCTCACCACTACACTCCAGTGATGAAATGTTCGTGCCGGTGTCCTGAAAACGGGGCACGTCAGTTGCCAATTCACTCGCTATCTCCTTGTGGAAAGCTGAAGCAGGCTCAGACGTAGATGGCAAACTTTCTCTTTCTCGCTCATCTTTATGTGATTTCTTGAAAAATTGTAATATTGAACCGCCATTGTCATTGGACAATTCATAAGAGTAATAAATCAACAATTCCTAATTTTTTTTATTTTAAAAAGTCTAAAAAACTGGGGGGGCAGACATGCAAATGTCCCCCCCCCCAAGGCCCCCTCGTGGCTATGCCACTGGTTCATAAGTTCCTGCTTCCTTTTTTTTTCAGAGAAAACTAATATTTTTTAATAAGATCAGCATCTTTGACATCTGTGGTGCAGATGCCACCAACAGCTTCTGAAAACCATTTGCAGAAGTTTACAGTTGGTAGTTCCCATTTTCAAAACGGATTTTTTGAAGGTTTATGGAAGTATAATTTAAACAGACTGACTAAATTCAATCCTATTAATAGGCTTAGAAAGAATAAAGTAGTAAAGTTGTCATGTTTTTATAGTACAATGAGCTCTTTTATCTGAAAAGATGATAAAGATACATTTGATTTTGGGTTCACATATTGGAACACAAACTTGAAATCTGGGCTTTTTTCCTGGTTGGGTCTTTCGTAGTTTCATAGTAATGCCACTTATGTCAGCACAAACTGCCTTGTGGTTAGTGCGTCGGCAAACAGTGCAGCTGTGCTCATGGCGACCCGAGTTCGATTCCCGTCTCGAGGTCCTTTGCCGATCCTGCTCCCCTCTCTCCATCCAATGCTTTCCTGTCATCACTCTACTGTCCTATCCAAAAAAAAAAAGGCATAGTAATACCATTTATAAATGTGTTTTTTTTTTTAACTCAGAGGTGTACACAGCACTGAAAATAGGAGCCAGCAGCACTTCTGTAACTTCCCTGCTGTGAATTTCAAAAATCCCCTAGCACTGCATGTAACCTCTCAAAATGTTACAATGTAGCTGCCGATCATCTAACGGTCCAAAAAAAGCTTTGCCTCTACAAAGTCATGTTTTAGGAAAAGCTTTATAGATTGATCTTTCCAATTAGATCATTAGCGCAATGAGGATATTTAATTCCCCTGCATTGCTGGATCCATAGCTTTTGCTCAATATAATGGGAGGAAGTGAATGTCAGGATTTGTCTCTGTTACTGTGAAGCACATAACTCAGTCATTGGGCCAGCCGGCAGCACTCAATCATCCTGTCAAACACATACACACACAAAATGTCTGTGGGAGAAAGAGGAGCACCTTTCAAAGCTCTCATCAGTTTGTGTGTGAAGGCAGGCAATCATGTTTCTGGATCTCCTCTGACTTGACAGACTGTGTTCATCCTTTTTAGAGGTGTGTATGTGCGTGTGAGATAATTAGCCCATGGAGACTCGTTTCCCCATTGTCCTCCCATTCAGTTTGCATCAATCAATCACAAGAAGCAGCTGAAGAGGAGGAGTTTTTGTGTGTACTTGTCAGCCTTGGTTAGACGTTTTTAATATTGTAAATTACAATTAGGAACTTTGGCGTTTTTTGTTGTTGTTGTTTTTATATTTTGTGTTATATGCTTAGTAAAAGTAGCAAATTTGTGTGTGACAGAATCAGTTGTCTCATCCTAAAAGGTCAAACTCTTCCACTAACTCGCCAGTCAGTCAAACACTGACAGGAGTCATTTACACATACATACAGAAACAGAAGGAGAATATCAGCCACCATAACAAGCAAAATCGATCAATAAAAGAGAAACTTTTTTTCCAGATAAACTATCTTTGCAGATTTGCTAGTTTACTTGAAGTGTATTATTGAGTCCAGCGTTTAGCTGGAATTAGCCTAAATATTTTTTGGATTGGAATATAGTATTACATTGACAAGCGATCTAAATGATTGAAAGCAGCAGAAACACATAAATATCTTTATGAGGAAGTCATTGATTCATTCACTTAACTATAATTTGTTCAAAAAATCTGAATCATTTTTATTTTTATTTTTTTTAGTGAGTTAAATCATTCAATCGACCAGTTTGTTCAAAACACTGGTTAATTAAAGGCTTGGAGACTTTCAAAGTTTATTCTGATTTGAAGCCATTTATGTTGGCTAAGCAGAAATAGGCAAACTATTTGGGAATATTGTATCTAAAATGTAAGTTCATTAGTATTAACTGTTAAATAAATAATATTAAACTAGTAATCGTACTGTTGGTCTAAACATCAACGCTGCTGTGATTACTGTGGCATATTTGTTTATAACAGCACTTTTGCTACTGGGATATTATTGATAAATTATTCTTTCTTTTTGTCTGATTTCCAAGATGGTCTTTTATGTCCATATGTCTGGTGACGGCATTGGCACTCTGAATGTGTACATGTCTACAAACTCCAATCGCTCACTCTTACTCAGCCTTACTGGAAATCAAGGCAACTACTGGAGCAGACAGGAACTGCCTCTCTCGTCTACTGACAACTTCCGCATTATGTTTGAAGGCAAGGTGGGCCGTAATACCAGAGTTCACATCTGCCTGGATGACATCACCTTCTCATCAGGCTGTATTCTTTTCAACAAATTTGAGAAAGACTCCACTCCCCGGTTACTTCCAGGTACAGTTGCACTAACTGTGCCATATATACATGCAGAGCTATCAGTGTAAAACATTTATTAGGACTGGAGTAATGATGCTGAAAATTCAGCTTTGCATCACAGGAATAAATTACATTGGGAAATGTATTTAAAAAAATTTTTTTTATTGAATTATTTCACAATATTCAAGTTTTTACAAACATTTACATAGGTTCTTGAATTTATGTGAAATATGAGACCTTTCAAAAACATTAATAACAAAAAAAGAGAAGCATTCAGTACTATAAACATTAGCATATTGTGATGACCAGAATAAAATAAACATCATCTGTTTTTATACATTAAAATATTTATCTATGTGTGTGTTTTCACAGGATCCTGTCCACCGGGTTCTCTACAGTGTAACAATGGCAATTGTTACAAACCAGAGCAGAAATGTGACTTCACTGATGACTGTGGAGATGGAACGGATGAATTGGATTGTGGGACGTCCTGCTCATTTGAACATGGGCACTGTGGTTGGAAAAGCAGCATGGCAGATACCTTTAGTTGGGCTCATGGAGTCGGCTCCATTCATATGATCAGACCTCCTCATGATCACACACTTAAAAATGAAAGCGGTAAGACTGTGTAGCCTCCTTTATTGATTTGGTGCTCTGCTTCTCTTTATCTCAGCAAGATATCTTTATTAATAAAGCAGTTGTGAGCTTGTGATATTGTGTATGACCATCCATAAGCAAGGTTTTATAGCATCAACAGAACTGTCTGAGTCCCAAAAACCCATGAAAGATACAGTAAGTGGGAAAGCCATTCTTGATGACAGTTAGATGTCCTAGCAGAGATCTATACATCACCATTTGGCAATCCTATATTTCTATTATTTCTGACTCCAATAGCATACACAATCGCAGTTTAGCTTCATCTCTGTTTGAGTTCATCCGTTTGTAATTTTCAGAATTACTAGACTTTAATTTGGTTTTATGCCAGATTAGATTATAAAAATTATGTTACATTAAAAATACCACTTCAAAATTGCCTTAGTGTACTATTTTCAGTGAATATTTGAAATACTCTTGCATCCATGCTTTTTAGACTGATAATGCCCATAAATCCTTGCTCTGTGTTCCTAATCAATGGAAGAGGTGGAGTTTGCACAATACAACTTTCAGGAGTGTGGGCATGCAGATTTTTATCAGTCTGTTACGTTTTGTTAGTTGCAAGATGGCTAAATTGAGTTCTTAGGAAGGTGACCCAGCCAAAATTGCAAAGGTGTGTGGCATTAAATCTTAACTAATGCTTCCAGGATGTAGGTTTGAGCACCTGATGATATGAAAGCTATTACATGGATATTAATAATTGTCAGTCTCTCTCTACACAGGCCAGTTTGTATATCTGGCAGCCACTCCTGTGGGATTGAAGGGAGATAAAGCTCACATGAGAAGTTCTGTGTGGAAGGAGTCTAGTGCCATATGTAAACTCTCCTTCTGGTACTATATTTCTGAAAAAGCCACAGGAATCATCCGGCTCTTCATTAAGGTACCTAACATGACTAGATCTTACCAAGTGAAGCAAACATACACTGCCACTGGAATATATCGCTTAAATCAGGGAAAGTGTGGAGGCCTTTATAGCTCTTTTAACATAAGCTGAAACTAGCGTTACGCACGTTATGTCAAATTTCGGAAACATGTTCTTACATGACTTTGCAGTCCTGTGTTATGTGTGAATCTTAGCTGAGATAAACCATTTAGCACTTAAAGTTTGTGTTATGAAACATACCTCAAGAGGGATTATGTGCAATAAACAATTGCCATAGGAAGCTCTTTATGTGAGAATGGGGCAGAAGCATTGGGAGGTGATGAATGTATGAAACTACAGAATTATGAAAAATGTCAAAGAAAGTGAAAAAACGTTCTTTTTTGTTTTTTACTTAGCATGAAACGGAAATGTGATTGCCTTGTTTTGCCTACTGTGACATATACCCAAATGAAACGGCAAAAAAATGTAGGATGGGGCTTGATTTTGTCCAATGGGAATTGATTGGATCATTGGATTGTTTTCTGTTTGCTGTGGTGATTTTTGATTAAAGATTATGAGGGCTTATAAGAACCTTTTCTGCATATGTGATGGATAGACAGAAAATGAGCTGAGGGAGGTGTGGACAGAGCGGCAGATACAAAGGGAATGGAGAAGAGCGGCGGTATCTCTGAAGAGCCTGAGGAACTTTATTCTCATATTTGAAGCAGTTCGAACACAAGACGTGAGTGGTGGAGCGGCTCTCGATGACCTGCAGTTCACTGACTGTGCACCACGTAAGTGCTCTTTTTTCATTCAAGGTAATTGATTTCCATTCTTATTGTTAATATAGCTTTAAACAAGCTGGAATTTGATATCTGACTAGCTCAGCTGATGTGAGCATAAATGCAAATGTAAGCATAAGACGTGTTCTACGGACAACAAGTGAAAGCTGCAGGAGAGTTTGTCTAGTTTGAGCAGTGATGCTCAGAGGGATGCAACAATGCCTCCAGTTTTCATCTCCACGTTTTTTTCCCGTGAGTCCTTTTTGCGTAACGTTCATGCATAAGCTTGACCAGCTCAGGGCTCTGAGGGTTGTGCTCAGCAGCGCCTTATGGAAAGCAGTACCACCATTTAATTGGATGAGAATTGATTTTCTAATTCTGACAAGCCATCAGGGAACAACATGAAAGTCAGAATAAGTTCTTCTTTTGGTTCTCAGGCTTGACATGGAAAATGTCAGATTTAATTTGCATACTGGCACTTCTAAATCACAGTAATTACACTTGAGCTTCTGGATCGTTTAGTGAGACTGTGTGTAATGCAAAGATGTCAAACACAATCTGTGATCAAAGCATAATTCATTGTTTTTTTGTTTTTTTTTGTTTTTTAACAAATACAGTGGTTATTATTATAAGTGACCATCCATGGCCTTATCATATATTTTAGGTGTAGGAACATGACCCTTTTTGCAGTTTTTTGGTTTTGAAATGTACAGCAAGTTTTACCAGAGCCATAAATTATTAAACTAAACTACAGTTACTTGCAGCTGTAAATAAATTAATAAAAAAAATTTGCTCTATCAAACCGTGAAGAGGAGCAGAGAAATTAAATCCATTTTTTACAACCTATTTCTTTGTGGGAATATGTGCTTTGGAAAAATTTTCTATACCTAGATAAAGACTTTTCGCTCCATGGCATAATAACTCAAAGTTTCGGAGAATTAAACAGGACATAGTTTGGCATGAACTTAATTTGCTGTCATGTTATGTTCAGTGAATTTGAAGATATTCATACTAAAAAGCTCTGGATGGATGATATTTTATTGCTATTTTGAGCAATGATGTTGAATATGGTCATACTTCACATGTCATTTGGATTTCGCATCTTTTCATTGATAGATGATCATTTTTGTTATTACATGGACCATGTACAGCAGGTAAAATAAGTATAAGTAAATAATAATAATATTGAACACGTCACTATTTTTCTTTACATTTCTAAAGGTACTGTTGACATAAAATTTTCACCAAATGTTGGTAACAACCCAAGTAATCCATACGTACAAAGAAAACAAAACAAATAAGTTCATAAATTATGTGTAATAGAATGGAATGACATGGGAAAAAGTATTGAACTACTGAAATTTATTTAATTCTTAGTACAAAATCCTTTTTTGGTAATGACAGCTTCAAGACGCCTCCTGTATGGAGAAACTAGTCGGTGTGATTTTGGCCCATTCCTCCACACAAACAGTCTTCAAATCTTGAAGGTTCTGTGGGCCTCTTCTGTGAACTCTGATCTGTAGTTCTTATTTTCTATTGGATTCAAGTCAGGTGATTGGCTGGGCCATTCTAGCAGCTTTACTTTCTTTTTCTGAAACCAATTGAGAGTTTTCTTGGCTGTGTTTGGGATCATTGTCTTGCTGAAATGTCCACCCTTGTTTCATCTTCATCATTCTGGTCCTGTAAGTGTTGGGACTGAACCAGCTAATATTAATTTCTACTGACTAGGGGCAGGATTGCTTTCTAGTTACTGATAGATTTCAGCTGGTGTCTTGGCTTTTCATGCCTTTTTGCACCTCCCTTTCTTCATGTGTTCAATCATTTTTCCCTGGGTCTTTCCATTCTATTTCTGAACTTATTTGTTTTGTTTTCTTTGTATGTATGGATTACTTGGGATGTTACCGACATCTGGTAAAAAATTTCAAGTCAACAGCACCTTTAGAAACATATTTACTGAGAAAAATGGTGACGTGTTCAATCCTTATTTTACCCGCTGTATCTTTTAAATGATGCTGTTTCAGATTAGTGAGACTGAAAAAGGGTCCTTGTATTTCAGGAGCTGTGCATCCTGGATCATGCCCCGCTGTAACAGATTTTGTGTGTAATAATGGAGACTGTATTGAGTATCATTTGGAGTGTGATGGTAAAGCTGATTGTTCCGATGAGTCTGATGAGATTGACTGCTGTAAGTACATCTGCACTAACCTTTAAATTATTGAGTATTAATGCAATATAGATACAATGTAAATACAAAATAGGTATTAATACAATCTCTATGGAGCTAATATCTCAACTGTTCATGTGGTCTGTTAGCGCATGTTCCAGGAGCTTGTAATTTTGATATGCCCAGCGGCCTTTGGCAGGAGACCTGTCATCTGTCTCAGGATCCCTACGATGACTTTGATTGGGATATAGGCTATGGCAGAATGCTTAATGGGACAGGACCATCAGCTGACCACAGCCCCGGTTAGTAAAACCTAAACTTCACAATGACCTTCAATCACCTGGCTAGTACAAATATGACTAGTAAACACACACATATCACCAAAGGGTAACATATTAAAATCTTTGTTTTGATTTCAATAATTAGAAAATGTGCATTACTAAAAACTAAATGTTATCATTATGTCATAATGAGTGTGTCTTTCTGACTGGCTGAGATTTGACAGTACCTGTGGATCACACAGATTGTATTGCCTGGACAGTGAATCTTCTTACCTCCCTTAAACAGTGAAACAGACAGCTTGATAATACCTGATCCTGAATCCAAACAAGCTACATATTAATCTAAGACTAAACCTTGCTATTTTATGTAAATATACTGTATGTGGATGAAATAGCAATTTTTGTACAAGATTCCCATGAATATGAGATGAGGTTTCTCTAAAATTGAAGCCAGCCGTCTAAATCATCTAATGAATCGTTGCGTGATTTGAAAACCAAAGGGTTGAAGGTCAGAAAAATCCCTCACTAAAAGCCATTTTCCAGCTACTTCATCAATGGGTGTGATTAAGATCTGGATTTCTGCCCTTCATATACTCATGTCCGGTTCTGCTAAAAGATCAGTGTCTCTCAGTAAAAGCGTTAAGTGTACATTATTTTAATTGTGAAAATGAGTCTGCCCTCTAAAAGGTGATCGATTTACTGAACCTACTATTGATTTTTCATGCCAGACAAAGAGTCAAGGAAATTGCTGCACAGTGTGTCTTTTGAGTAAAGCCGTGGAGGAGTTATGCAGTGAAATCTAATAATGTTTGTTGTTACAATCTCTATCATAATACTATAATAATATAATCTCATTTTTGACAAGATAAGAAATTGTTTCTAATATTTTTAGGGGTGTAGTGGTGTAAAAGTATTGAAGTCTATGCAAAATGAAAATTCACCCCATCTTTTTTGTTAATGCATGTTGTAGATTTTATGTTGTAGATTTTTTTATGCTTGTGAGCATTTAAATTTTTTTAACTCCATGGTAATTGTTAATGGTGATCGTAAAAACATGCCAATGTTTTTTTTTTTCAATTTCATTTACATATTTTCACAGTTTTAGCAGGCATCTTTGCTAAAGTAAATATTTAATGCATTGTAGGTGACATTTGTGACCCTGGAGCACAAAACCAGTCTTAAGTCGCTGGGGTATATTTGTAGCAATAGCCAAAAATACATTGTATGGGTCAAAATTATAGATTTTTCTTTTATGCCAAAAATCATTAGGATAAGTAAAGATCATGTTCCATGAAAATATGTTGTAAATTTCCTACTGTAAATATATTAAAACTTAATTTTTGATTAGTAATATGTATTGCTAAGAACTTCATTTGGACAACTTTAAAGGCGATTTTCTCAATATTTAGATTTTTTTGCACCCTCAGATCCCAGATTTTCAAATAGTTGTATCTCGGCCAAATATTGTCCTATCCTAACTAACATTAGGATGGAAAGCTTATTTAACAATGCTTAACAATGGAAAGCTTATTTATTCAGCTTTCAGATGATGTATAAATCTTAATTTCGTAATTGACCCTTATGACTGGTTTTGTGGTCCAGGGTCTCATTTGGTTTACTCTTTCAGATGGAGGAGGTGGGTATCTGTATGTGAACTCCAGTGGTCAGAGAGAAGGAGATATCGCCAGATTCATAAGCCAGCTGGAGTTTCCTGCGAGTGTCGGTATATGTCATCTGCGCTTTTGGTTCCACATGTATGGCTCACGTCACATGGGTACACTGAAGGTGAGATAATACTTTAATACAAATATATTTTGAAATATACACAAATAACATATTTTACATAAGTTTTTACCATACCATTCAAAAGTTTAGAGTCTGTATTTTTTTATGTTTTTTAAAAAGTGTCTTGCTCACCGAAGCTACATTTATTTAATCAAAATACAGTAAAAATGTAATATTGTGAAAAATTATTTCGGTTTAGACATTTGTTTTAAAAAAACTGAACTTCCAGTCTTGAGTGTCATGTGATCTTTCAAAAATCATTCTAATATGCTGATTTGGTGCTCAAGAATTTTTTTTATAGTTATCAGTGATTATCAGTAATTATCAAAACAGTTGTGCAGCTTTATACAACTAGACAACTTGATCGTTCAAGAGAACAACATTTATTTGAAATATACATTTTGGTCACACTTTATTTTAATTTGCTAATTTGCTGCTTATAATAGTTAGTAAGGTAGTTGTTAAGTTTAGGTATTGGATAGGATTGGGGATGTAGAATATGGTCATGCAGAATATGTGCTTATACGTACTAATAAACAGCTAATATGTTAATAATAGGCATGCTAATTAAGCAACTAGTTAATAGTGAAAAGTGGTCCCTATACTAACATGTGTTACTGACATTTTTTATAACATTTAAAAAAAAAATTGGAGCTGCAGTGTATATCCACCTTTGAAGCTTCCCTTTGCATTATGTGGCAGTATTTTACTCGCAAAGATGAGCATTTTGGAGAACTGCAGCCTGCTAAATATCAGTCATGAAGTAAATTTCCCCCCTCTGGTCTTATTCCATGAAAAGAAGAGCGTGTATTATGATTCATAAAATGAGTAATGAAAAATAAGCTTTAAAGTTTTTGGAGCCAAATGTGCAGGAGTTCAGTGAAATTCCTTTCACTGCCTTTGTTTTATATTGAAAACACTGAGCTTTAAAGCACCTCTTGAAGACTGCGTAATGAATTCTGGGCACTATATTGCAGGTGTATACCATGGGCCACAGTGGAACACCTCTGCTAATGTGGGCAACCTGCGGAAACCATGGAGACAACTGGCATTATGCTAATGTGATCTTATCAAATGCATCACCCTTCAGAGTGATCGTTCAGGCAGAAGGGGGAGCAGACCAGTGGACTGACATTGCTGTGGATGACATCTCTTTCACTAGACAATGTGTTGTTGGAGGTACAGAACTACTGATTGCTTTTGATTCTTGTCTCTTCCTGAATTGAAAATGGCTTTACTATTTTGTTTCTGTAATATATAATATAATATAAAAATTGTTAATTTTGACTTTTTTTTACAACTGTCAATTTAATGCATAGCAATGAATACAAAAAAACTAATGGTGGTAAGTATATACTACCATTCAAAACTATGGGGTGAACATTACAGTAAGAAGAGTAATGTTGTGAAATATTACAATTCAAAATAACTCTAATCTATTTTAATATATTTTAAATAATAAGGTATTTCTGTAATTTGCTGATTTTGTGCTCAAGAAACATCATATTATCAATGTTTAAAAACAGTTGTGCTTTACTGTCTCTTTTGATCAATTAATGCATAATTGTTAAAAAAAATCATACTGACCCCAAACTTTTGAATGGTATGTTATATTGTTTTACTAAAAAAAAAAAAATCTTGGATTTCAATTTAGGAGTGTTTTCGGGGTCGAAAAATGATTCAGTGATTCTGAGACCACCAATGATTGTTCATCAGACAATGTGAGAGAGGTTGAGGAGAAAGGAATAGACAAAGACAAGATCAGTACATACTTCTCTGACTTTATTCTCTAAATGAAAGGTTACATTTATAGCTTAAAAATGTATGAACAACATAAAGCCCATCAAAGTAAAGTGACTTTTTAGGAGTAGCATAATATATTACTTCTCATTAAGTGGGCACTTTCTTCAGGGGAATATTCCTGCAATCTTCAGATTAAAGGAGCTGTGGCCCAGGAGCACTGTAGGGGTGAAGAGCCTCGGTCAAGGACACGTCATTAATGGGGACTCTCTGTAACTCTCTTGTTAAGGATTGCCCCTCACTGAGCTGGAACCTGCACCCTTTAGCCGCCAGCCCATAACCTTAACCACTTGATCTGTGTTAATTAATGGTGTGAAATGAGGTCCTTATCACATTTTATCATTCAGTTATGATGATGATTTTATCATAAGTCATTATTATATGTGGATGTGTTTTATTTTTTAGAGTGTCCAATTGGGTACTGTCTCAATGGAGGGAGGTGTTCAGTAAAGGAAAATGGAGCAGTGTGCATGTGAGTTTCCCAAGCACAATAGTACACTCACAGTGAATCCCAAAATGTTAATAGAGTTAATAATAGTTAATAGAGCATTCATCTGTATAACAGAAGCTATGCAGTTAAAGCAACTAAAGAGGCTTTCTTTTACTGTTCACTCCTCTTGGACTGCTAATACAGATTAATGCAAAGTATATGTTTGTTATGGAGGACAAATGATGATTTTTGTTGGGTTAGAAAAAAGTGTTTGCCTAAAGTCTGACCTAAAACCTCCTTTCAGTTTTACCTGGGGAAAAAAATCCCCACCTTCACCTGTTGGTCATGGTCAGGCAGGTGGCAAGACCCTGTTGGAGATCTTTGCATTGAATTATTCATGCTATCCTACAGTGCCAGCCGAATATCACATTGAAATGTGTGTGATTTATACAAAGAGTTATCAGCACCCTGACTCTCAGTTTAAACTTGCACTTTTCAGCGAACTGCCAAAGCAGGCTTTCTGTAATTACTGTTCCACGTGTGCCAAGAAACACAATCTTTCTCCATTTGAATTAACCCCCCAAAGCCTCAAATGTTTTCTCTCTCCTTGTCTTTCTCTTTGAAATGGTGTATGTCATCGCTAATAAATTATAAGAATTACTTAAGTCTCTTGTTCGCAGACACTAGTGTATTTGTGTGTGCACGAGGTTGCTTGCAGAATAGCTTAAGGACATTCTTTATGTGAAAAGATCTTCCCCACAGGCAAGAAAAGAAAAGAAAACACAAGGAGAAAGTAAGAGAAAAGAAGGGACAAAGAGAGAATGTGTGTCTTTTTCTCATTACAGGAGCCAAGGGAAGGCTGTTGCTGATATTAAGCTCATGTGGATGTCTCCAGGCAAATACTCATGCACTAAGAATTACTTAAGTCTCTTGTTCGCAGACACTAGTGTATTTGTGTGTGCACGAGGTTGCTTGCAGAATAGCTTAAGGACATTCTTTATGTGAAAAGATCTTCCCCACAGGCAAGAAAAGGAAAAGAAAACACAAGGAGAAAGTAAGAGGAAAGAAGGGACAAAGAGAGAATGCGTGTCTTTTTCTCATTACAGGAGCCAAGGGAAGGCTGTTGCTGATATTAAGCTCATGTGGATGTCTCCAGGCAAATACTCATGCACTTATTTATTTATTTCTCTTTTGGAAAGTTGAGGATGGCCAGCATTCCCTTATGAATTATCTCTGCCATTCAGAGTCAGTGTGTGCGTGTTTCTGCAATAATGATGTTTTCCTCTCTAGTTGTCCATCACAGTGGACTGGTAATCGTTGCCATATAAAAGAAAAACCTTTTCTCACAACCGCGTCCACAACAGCTGTGATACCAGATAGTAAACTAGGTAACTGGATTGGTGAGTATATGCACATGCAATTATTTGAATATAAATGTACTAGTTAAGCAATAATATGTGTGTTTAATTGTGAACTCTGCAGCTGTCAGTGTTGGATTAAGTGTGGCATTGATCCTGGTGGTCATCGCAACTGGAGTCATTCTGTTCTTGTTATTTCAAAGGAGACATTCACTAAAGTAAGTCCATTCACATTCAAATGAACTCGGAAAGTGTCTATAAAATGTATGGGTATTGACTGCATTGTTCTTGACTGAACAGAGACTCCAGTCTTATTGATAATGAAGAGTTGGATTGCTCAACCTTTGACTTGCAGAAAAAGGTCAGTCATATACCTCAAATTATAAAAGCCATGATCAAATAAGTTGAGCATTATCCAGTCGTGTGTTTGTTTTTTAATAGAGACCTTCGTTTTCCCTGCCATGTTGCATCTCTAATACATTCCCTAGACTCTCTTTTTTTCATCCCTCTCCATTTCTTTTTTTTTTTCCACTTACTGCCTTTTTTCCACTTTGGAGCGAACAGTGTTATTTAGTAATTTGAACCACTCTGCAGGTGTGAGAGAGAGCTCTGTCACACTGCTGATAGGAAATATTGAACCGCAAGCTTAAGTTTGTGCGTTTGTGTTGGTGTGAGCATGTGTACATTTAGCGCTCAGTTCTAAACTCGCTGTATTTTGTATGCAGCACACAGTAATTTTCACTCTCCTGTGCAGTAAGGGGTAGTTTTTAGAGAAGTCTGGCATATTTTAATGGCTAACTGAGATTTCTCCATATTTTACTGTTATGCATTCATGTGAGTGAGCTAATTCAAAAATGTAATGCAGTAGGAACCCTAGTGTTTTGAAAACAATTATTGATTTTCATAATTGTATTACACTAATGTAATTTGACTGTGAGCTTTGGAAAGATGATATATTAAAGCATTACTATTATGGTTGTTCCTATAGCTGTCATTTTATTAAATAAGTTTACTGTGTAATTCTGGTTTCAGCTGCCCTCTCTTGACGTTAGACCCAGATGGCCAGTACATTCTCGACTAAACATCAGCGTTTACCCATGGAGAGAGGATGCAAAGGTATGAAAGTCTGGTTGTCATAATTAACAAAGTGACCATTCAGTTCCACCCCAAAAAAACACTTTTAATTTGAAAAGACATACTGGTGATGTACAATGCAATCTGTGGACTGTTTTATTGCTCTGCACTCATCACATATAGCTTTGACATGCAATGATTTGACTGAGGCTTGGGACCAGAGGACCTAAGTAATACATTAATCTTCTGCTTAAGCAATAAATGAAAATAAGGTACCAGAGAAAATACGGACAAATCTTGTTCGCAGACACTAGTGTATTTGTGTGTGCACGAGGTTGCTTGCAGAATAGCTTAAGGACATTCTTTATGTGAAAAGATCTTCCCCACAGGCAAGAAAAGAAAAGAAAACACAAGGAGAAAGTAAGAGAAAAGAAGGGACAAAGAGAGAATGTGTGTCTTTTTCTCATTACAGGAGCCAAGGGAAGGCTGTTGCTGATATTAAGCTCATGTGGATGTCTCCAGGCAAATACTCATGCACTAAGAATTACATAAGTCTCTTGTTCGCAGACACTAGTGTATTTGTGTTTGCACGAGGTTGCTTGCAGAATAGCTTAAGGACATTCTTTATGTGAAAAGATCTTCCCCACAGGCAAGAAAAGGAAAAGAAAACACAAGGAGAAAGTAAGAGGAAAGAAGGGACAAAGAGAGAATGCGTGTCTTTTTCTCATTACAGGAGCCAAGGGAAGGCTGTTGCTGATATTAAGCTCATGTGGATGTCTCCAGGCAAATACTCATGCACTTATTTATTTATTTCTCTTTTGGAAAGTTGAGGATGGCCAGCATTCCCTTATGAATTATCTCTGCCATTCAGAGTCAGTGTGTGCGTGTTTCTGCAATAATGATGTTTTCCTCTCTAGTTGTCCATCACAGTGGACTGGTAATCGTTGCCATATAAAAGAAAAACCTTTTCTCACAACCGCGTCCACAACAGCTGTGATACCAGATAGTAAACTAGGTAACTGGATTGGTGAGTATATGCACATGCAATTATTTGAATATAAATGTACTAGTTAAGCAATAATATGTGTGTTTAATTGTGAACTCTGCAGCTGTCAGTGTTGGATTAAGTGTGGCATTGATCCTGGTGGTCATCGCAACTGGAGTCATTCTGTTCTTGTTATTTCAAAGGAGACATTCACTAAAGTAAGTCCATTCACATTCAAATGAACTCGGAAAGTGTCTATAAAATGTATGGGTATTGACTGCATTGTTCTTGACTGAACAGAGACTCCAGTCTTATTGATAATGAAGAGTTGGATTGCTCAACCTTTGACTTGCAGAAAAAGGTCAGTCATATACCTCAAATTATAAAAGCCATGATCAAATAAGTTGAGCATTATCCAGTCGTGTGTTTGTTTTTTAATAGAGACCTTCGTTTTCCCTGCCATGTTGCATCTCTAATACATTCCCTAGACTCTCTTTTTTTCATCCCTCTCCATTTCTTTTTTTTTTTCCACTTACTGCCTTTTTTCCACTTTGGAGCGAACAGTGTTATTTAGTAATTTGAACCGCTCTGCAGGTGTGAGAGAGAGCTCTGTCACACTGCTGATAGGAAATATTGACCCGCAAACTTAAGTTTGTGCGTTTGTGTTGGTTTATGTGTACATTTAGCGCTCAGTGCTAAACTCGCTGTATTTTGCATGCGGCACAGTAATTTTCACTCTCCTGTGTAGTGAAGGGTAGTTTTTAGTGAGGTCTGACATATTTTAATGGCTAACTAAGATTTCTCCATATTTTGCTAAGTTATGCATTCATGTCAGTGAGCTGAATCAAAAATGTAATGCAGTAGGAACCCTAGTGTTTTGAAAACAATTATTGATTTTCATAATTGTATTACACTAATGTAATTTGACTGTGAGCTTTGGAAAGATGATATATTAAAGCATTACTATTATGGTTGTTCCTATAGCTGTCATTTTATTAAATAAGTTTACTGTGTAATTCTGGTTTCAGCTGCCCTCTCTTGACGTTAGACCCAGATGGCCAGTACATTCTCGACTAAACATCAGCGTTTACCCATGGAGAGAGGATGCAAAGGTATGAAAGTCTGGTTGTCATAATTAACAAAGTGACCATTCAGTTCCACCCCAAAAAAACACTTTTAATTTGAAAAGACATACTGGTGATGTACAATGCAATCTGTGGACTGTTTTATTGCTCTGCACTCATCACATATAGCTTTGACATGCAATGATTTGACTGAGGCTTGGGACCAGAGGACCTAAGTAATACATTAATCTTCTGCTTAAGCAATAAATGAAAATAAGGTACCAGAGAAAATACGGACAAATCATAATGGAAGAAAGGTCCATCATAATGTCTCATCATAATGATAGGATGCAGTTGCTGGCCGCTCGAGTGTTCCAGAATTGCTCTGTATAAATGGACTATAAGAAGACTCAGTGGTTTTCATTTGTTCATCTGGGCCCGTCTTTGCTTGTGTGTGTTATTCAGGTCTCCAGCTCAAAGGAAAGCAAGCTCTCTTTCTCCAATCCAGTCTACAAGTGCTCAAACAGTTCTGAAGCTTGAAGAAAACACAGACACGCAAACACTGGCTGTCACGTCCCTATAGATTTAGAGCACTTTCCACTTCATTTGAGCCTCCCCAACAGCATGGCTGTACTGGCTTAAGGTTTAGAGGGCTTTTTTTTAACACAAACTGGTGGGAGGAAAAAGTGTGACCACAAACAAGATCCAATTAAGCTAAATGAAGCAGTTAAACTATCAGTCATAAAAAGAAAGTTTCTTATAATAATCTGTGACATGTAACACATTCCATATGTTATGAAAGCTCTCCGAGGCACTGAAATTAAACTTCCATCTTTCTTGTTTTACAAGAGCCAACACTTCATGTCAGTGCCTGTTTTAACATGAGGGGCTATGCTGATAGATGCCTTTGTATGTTTAACAACTCAATTAATAGTATCTAATTGCCGGTGAATGTTCATGTTCAGTTTTAAGACTTTTTAACATTAATTCATATAATTTAGAAGGCATTTTTTGAACATTATCTTTTTGTTTCATTGAAAATACCAAACAGTGTCTTTCAGAAAATAAAGGAATTAATTTTTTTAGAGAATCATAGATTTATTAAAATTAAATGAAATTAAATTTTTAGGATGACCACAATGTAACATTAATCTGGGAAGGTTTATCAAATCTAATATGGAGTCTGGGTGCCATTTCAGAGATTGTTTTGTTTTTTTTATAGCCTGCTCTCCTTCCAGATCTCTGGTTTCGAGAATATTGCATTTTCATTACTTTAAATGTGCGTTCAATCACCACTTGGTCTCCTTTTGGATTCAAGCAGACCACATTTTGACAGATGATAAAATTGAAAACTGTAATGATACCAAAACATGCACAAAGACAAGTGAAGTAGTTAAGTGCCCGTGTTTAAGGGAAAAGGACATTTTCCTTGATACCAGAACACTGGAACAAAAGCTGTAAATGTACAATGATAAACTCTGGTGAAATATGAAATGTTTCAATATTACAAACTCTCTGTAATCCTGCATTCTTTGTCCTTTTGTTTCTGGTTCTCATTTGTCAGAAGTCAAAACAAATGCTTTGTCTTAGCACAAAAATGAACTACAAAGCATGAAATGAAACATGATGATTTGATAAGAACGTTCGAATATAGATGAATTATCTAGGAAATGTGTCTTTGCGCAGACTGTAACATACACTTGTCAAAGATGTTTTAGAATTATGTATTCATTAAAAACATACAAATTGGATTCCTGAAATGTGCTCCGCATTACATGAGCATCAATAAGCCCAACACATTGTGTTTTCTCTGGATATCTCTCAAGAAATACACAAAGATCTGAATTCAGACTTTTACACACTATTACAAGTTTTTACTGTCAGCTACTATAGACAGCTAATCGTTTACAGCCATTTACAGTCTACAAAATGTTGTAGTGTTCTGATTCTGCTTAGAACAGGTTTGGTCCTCCTCCTTATATCCTTCTTTAAACCTACGGATATTCCTGTTGATTTATTTGTCTTGTTTTTTTTTTAAATCATGTTCATAATGAAACATTTGGTTTTTCAAATAGGGACCTCCGTACCCTGCTATGTACGTAGACAGCTGGGATCTTTCTATTAACAGTGTGTGAGACAGGAAATTACATTTCCTTGAACACAGTGAAAATGTTTTGCCGAATTTAAGTGTTATTGCTGAGGTGTAAAAACTAATAGAAAGAGACAGTATAATATTCATCATGCATACATTTACATGCTCACATTTGCAGAGAGCAGTTTCATTATTGTGCTTAAATATGCAGTCAGTTCATCTGAATCTCAGCGAAATAAAAAATATGCATATAGTCCATTCATCAATTCTGCACTTTCATTTTAATGTCTTTCTGCATCTCTCCATCTCTTTCAGTGCTTCAGAGTCCGTATTTATAATACATTATAAGGGTATTCTTAAGGCATTATAATGAATGCATAATGCATTATAAAAAACCTTATTATATGTTGTATTATCTCATAATTAATCATAACAACAGTTTTAATATATTATAATATTTACTTATTTGTGGTTATAGCTTTTAAGAGTATGATGATTTATAACAATGAACATGTTGCATCCACTTTTACAATGGATTATATTTCTCATATAGATATAATGTATTATAAGTCTCA